AAAATTAAATAAATGTATCGCCTTAACTCTGAATTGCTCTCACCCTACAACACACATTTCCCAAGAGAGTTTTTTTTTTTTTCATTTTTCTTGCATCTTTTTAATTTTTCTTGTGTAATAAAGTGTTTTCAGTTTTCATGACCCAGCACCCCTTAAACTTCAAGGCTGACAGAGACACACACACACTGATATCACTGGGACAGACCCCCACAAACTGGGACATTTCCGGTGAAATCACTATGTAAGCGTATATTTGCGTAAGTTTCACTATAAAAAGCGAAACTGCTTCTCCACACACCACGACATAAAACCATAAACCGCTTTTTACTTAACATTTAGTAACTTTTTACCAGAGGAAAATCCACCCTCCTCCATAACACACACCGATATCAGTTTTTTTTTTTTTAATTTTTATTGTAGTCTCGGATGTAGACAATACACGATTCTTTCTGAATATATATATTCACTTGTAGAACCCCGGCATAAATTTCCCTTTTTTAAAAAAAAAAAATCTAATGAATACAACAGCGAAAAGTCTCTTAATGTGTGTACTCTGCTTCGACTTTGATACTGGAGTCTAAACACCAAGGATGTAAAAAGCGACACTTTTTTTCTTCTTTTCCTCGTGCTGATGGTGGGAAGAAGAAAAAAAAACTACGACAAACTGCAGGGTTATGACGTCGTTGGCGGAAGAGAAGAACGGGGGTGAAGAAGAGAAGAAAAAAAAACTTTCCTGGCCTAATGAATGGGAGACTGGGGCAGAGAACTTACGGGGTGGGTGGTTGCTACTGCTGCTTGTTACATTGTTACGCAGACATATCTCGAGATATATATGTACTGATATGCACAGATTATATATATATAAAAATTGTGTGTGTATGTCATGAACGGAGATGGGTGGGAGCTTCAGCTGGGCAAATGAGTGCGTGTCCCCAACTGTAACTTCTTTTCGACTGCTTTAGTTCGCTGTTTGTACTTTTTAGTTAGAAGGCGCGACTCGTGCCTCTCATATGCAATGTGCGTCTTTTTTCTTTTTTTTTTTTTTATCTTACGGTCGCAATGGCATCGGCACTTTTCAACTGTTTTTTAGTAATTTAAAAAGTTATTTAAACTGAAGTTTAAATAGTAAAATTATTATTTTTTTATTTTTAGTATCTATTTTTCCTTTGCGTCACGAAAGTTAAAAAAAAAAATCGAGATAATTCATCTTGAAAAAAAAGCATGAACATTTTACCACTACCGACTTAGGAAATAACTAAAAAACGCATTTTTTAAATAAATGTTTTCTTTGGAATTAAGTTTTGATTTTATTTGTTGAATAAGGGCCGAACTAATCCATAAAACATGAAAAATAATTTAGTTTAAATGAAGTTTTTAGATATTTAATTTAAAACATTGGTATGGTCACTGATCGAACTTCCATTACCGACGAAAAATGAAAACAAATTTAAAAATCTCTACATAATCCAATATTTTTCTTTTTAGATATTAATATTTTATAAATAAATAAATTAGTAAATTTAAAGATTAATTAACTGGATTTTGTAAAAGTAACATTTACTTTGTGCTTAAATAAACCCGCGAAAATAACGTTTATTTACGCACGGTAGCCCATGATCTGTCATCAAGGTTATTGGTAGTCTTAAAAGCCATCCTTTTATAAAAAGGTGCGAAAAAGTTTTTTTATTTTAAATTTAAAAAATACGGAGCACCAACACATCAAAAAAATTGGTATTATTATTGTTTGTTTAAAAATACATTATCTTTTTTAACCTGATATGATCAATCAGTTTCATTTCAAGAATATATTTTTTTTATTATTCCATAAGCTTTCATTCATGAAACTTAGAATGAATAATTTTAATTTTTTTTTTCTTTTTACTACATTTAAAAAAAAATTTAATTAAAAACTAGTTGATAGTTTGTTTTGTGTTTAATTCATTGCTTTTATTTTTTTTTAATTTTCTTACCTGTTTGTTGAATCAGTTTGATTTTCAATGCACTTAAAATCAGAATAATGAACCTCATTAAGAAAATTTATTAAACTAACGAAAATGTTATTAAAAAAATCTGATAAAAAAAATTAGATCCTTAAAAATATTAAACATGCAATTTTTTAAAAAACAAAACAAAAACATTGAAAAATGCTACCGTCAGATCAAAAAAAAATAGTCATCTCATAAATAAGTCAATTAAATTTTTATCACTTACTCAATGATGAATGAAATTTAAATTTAGCAAGTTATTTTATTAAAACTTTGAAGAGATAGAATTTTCGGATAACTTACAATAACTTCAGTATATAATCACAGTTATTTTTCTTATAACACGTATATCTCTTATTATTTTATCATTATTCATCTCGTTATAAGTTAACCGGTTACGTTACAGTTAAGTAAGTTAACAACTCCTAATTATTATTCAACAGCATCCATTGTGATGTCTATTTTTATCTTATCCCTAAACAAAATCATTCTAAAACATTTATTAAAAAATTGATAAAAGTTAGAGGTACGGCTTTCAAAAGATTTTTTTGTTGTTGGTCCTTTTTCTTTTCCACTGTCAATTCTTCCCTCTTGAACTGTTACTCCTCGGCTGTCTTCCACATCGCACTTGCAACATATTTCCTTTTTGAACTTCTGTACAAAAAAAAAAAAAAATCTAACAGCTGTAAAAATGAAAAAGGAAAAAAAACTTAAATGTTCACACTCAAAAATGTCATTTAAACATTCACATTTTTCGCTTCTTCAAACGTCTAGGAACAGAAACGGTGAATTTCAAAACTGCACTAGAAATTACAAGTAAATCTTTTAAAAATATGTGTTAGTGCATATTTCTTTCCTTGTCAAATCTGAAAGAAAATGTTTTTATTAAATTGCAGGCACCAAGTCTCAACAAAAAAAATATTTTATAGTTTTAGTCTTATTTTTGGTAAGGTTTGGGAGGAATTTTCAGTATATTCACACTTAATAATTTTTTTTTCTTTTTTGCTGAAATGACATCTTCAATGATTTTTCTTTATATAACTTAAAAAAAAAATCGAATACATTTCCCTCCAATTTAAAACTACCCACTATACACAATTCAAGTGAAACTGACGCCAAAAATATTTTCACAAAGTTTTCTATTAAAATAATAACCTATTCAGTATACAATTTAACTCCTTACCTTACTGAATATTTTCTTTAAAGTGAATAATTCACTGATTTTTGGTAAATATTTAAACACTGGGTAGCACTTTTTTATGTTTTCATTTCAAGGAAAAACACATCCATTTTGAATTTTGATGGTACCTAATAAATACAATATGCACTGATGTGAAATTTCACTAAGTGTATGGTGGAGTAATGGATAGCAGCTCCGATTGATAGCTGAGTTTGAATTTCAGTCGAATCTATTGCAATACATTCACTTACGTGCTAATACCCTCTGGAAAGGTATGAATCCTCTTCTCCCCACCAATTATGGGTAAGTAGCAGGACAGACTGGGTTCTATAGCCTTGGATAGCAACTGGTCTTGTATTTATGATACTCATACTCATTTGTGTTCATAGATACAGTATATAACATTCAAAAAGTCATTTGCTACATTTACTCCAAGGAAATTTGGTTTACTGTATCATGCCAAAAAATCTTTCTCATCAGAATCCATCTTGCATATAAATCTACCCTTCACCTGTGCAATGAATACTGTTGCCGCACAATGTCTGGTGCTCCTGCTGTACATCTCAAGATTTTTTAAAGAATTCAGAGAAGGGTCTGCAATACTATCAGTCCTGACAAGGCATCTCATCTCCAGTCACTTTCTCACTGATGTGACACGGCTTCTTCTACAAATGTTTTTGTGGCAACTGTTCTGATGAGGATTTTTTCCCCTGGTGCACCGACGACATGAATTTAAGCATATTACTAGAATGGCAATGAGGTCCCACTGTTTTACTGTCAAACTAACCAGATACAACTGCCACTTCTACTTTAACATTTTTTTTTCTCACACTTCCCCCCTGTGGAACTCTCTTCCATTTCCTTGCTTCCCTGATAACTACAATTTTCAAAAATTTAAATGCAGTATCTGTCTATATTTCTGAGATGAGGTATTATGTACACTATTTACATTATTCGGACTATTGTCCTCATCTTTATTGCCATATTTATTACATTTCAGCCATTGTATGCTTGAAGAGGGGAATTAACAGGAAATAACTGATAACAGATATCCATTGGACATGGCATGTGGAAGTAAAACAGTCTACCCCAGTGAGTGAAACCACCTGAAGAAGGCCAGAGCATACAACGGCCAAAACATTGTGATAAATATGGCACTAAAGGTGAGGACAATAATCCAAATAATGTAAATAGTGAATTTAAATGCAATGTTAATTACCATCTTCTGTCTTCTTGAAACCCTGTTCCTTTATTTAATCCTTTCTTCAGTCCTCCTCCTTCTTCTCTTTCACTTTCACTCTCTATAAAGTCCTGCATTTAGTGACATTCTTGCCTCCCTTGGGGTGAAATGATAATATATAAAAACTAGCTTAATATGATCCTGATTCAAGCACTCTGAATAGTAATAATTTTATTTCATTTTTTTTTTTCACTTATCTAATATCAATTTGATTTGGTGGAGTCATTTAAGTTCCATGAAAAAAAAAATTTTAAAATGGATATTTTGTCCTGTATCCACTCTAAAGGGCCAAATTTAACAAAGGGAACTAAGATGTTGAACAATTTGTAGTTGATTTTTTTTATGGCTTCTCAACCCTTTTCAGGTTATTTAAAGCCAGAAAATATTTTTAGATTGTAAGGTTTGTTTTTTTTTAGATAATAATGCTTCCGTGATACAAGCCTTACTAATTAACCCATCGCTGGGGGAAGTAGAGTTGGACTCTTTCCTTCCATATTTGTACATAAGTGAATATAATGAAGCCAATTGGAACTCTGCACTCTGATTAAGAATTCAGAGCCATTATCTGTTACACCACCTTCACATCCAAGCTTAGAGCACCTAGTATTCCAAAGTGGTTACCCATCTAGATACTGACCAGGCTTGACATTGCTTAACTTCAGTGATTGTATGGGGACCAGTGTTTCAATGTGATGTGGCCATAAGCCAAACAATTTGCAAAAGGTCATGTCTATAATGATTTGCCTGTGGGCTCTTGCTGTAGATCTATGACAAGCAAGTGATTCTTGTAGATCATTTGACAGTGAGTTCAGGCCTCACTGGATGCTCAACTGTATTTGCCTTGTACCAGACTAAAGTAGGTTTAGTATATAATCATAATCATTGGTGTATTTGGAATATTCACAAAGACCCTTTTTCAAAAGGGTTGAAAGAACTGGAAATGCAAAATAATGAAATTATGTAAACCATAGAACTATTTACGTGGGTATGACTATTGAAGAATATATTACAGTTATGGGACCTTACCCATAATAATATAATGGACTATTCCATACGTAATAAATACTGCGCCTCAAGAGGAAGTCTGAAGTTCATAAGTGAGGTCTGGTCAGTCAGAGGTCTGTCAGTCAGTCAAAGTTCTCCCTACTAAACCTTAAATTGTTCATTAAAACCTGATTGTTCTTTCTACTTCTCTGTATATATTCCTGTTTGTAATATATCTGTGTTATTCCATATCCGTGTTCGAGTTCTTCTTTATTGGTTCTACCTTGGACCATCACCGTGGTACAAGGACCTGGACCATAACAATTACAATGGCAACACATCATTTGACCCTCCAGCTGACTCTAAGTTTATTCCTGATATAAAGGTGAAAAAAAAAATGTTATTATCAACTATTTAAATACGCCGCAAAACCAAATGTGTACATGCTGTAAGAAAAATTAAGAATTACCAACCATAATAATTTTACCAACCCCTGACTTCACTAGAAAAAAATGTCCTAAAATTTCATTGAAGTAGTAGTGAGTAAGTAAGTACTGTCCACTTTATTGTGATCAGATGTAGGATCTCTGAAAAAAATGTGTTATCACCTGACTTCTGAGTAAGACCTTTCATAAAATTTTGGGTTAAACTTTTTATTCTATCATCATTGCCACAAATGATGATGGTAAGTTATGAAATTTTCAGTACTTAACCAAAGAACAAATTTGGATAAACTCAATCATCATCATGGTAATTATGACAATAAAAATGTTTTTATATAAACTCTGTATTTTAATTATATTCTAGTTTATTTATGCTCTCGAAAAATTTTGGTTGAGCACTGTTGAGAGACAGGGTAATTCTAAACAGCAGCTGTCTCCGCTAACACAACGTTCTTCATTGAAAATGAATTGAGCACTATGGCTGTCTGGCATTTGTTTACATTCGTAAAAAATAATATGCTAGAATTTCCCTTTCCCTCTGCCATGTGCTGATAGCTCAGTGGTAGAAACTCCAACTGATGACAAACTGGTTTGTTTCTGATCCTAGCTTGAAGCAATCAGGTGTCTAGCCGGACTGATGAGCTGTGATACAGTGAAACAGGCCTGTATTTTGAATTTGTAGGTCTGATGAATTGGATTGTGATTACATGTAATAAATTGGATTGTGATTAATGTAATAAATTATAACCATTGAATATTAGTGTTTGAGCCTTTTATGTTATACTAGCAATAGAGCCTGGCATTGCCCGGGGATGTAACAGTAAGAGATAGATCAAGTATCGACCATCATAAAGACTGAATAATAAAATTGACAAAGATTACTGTTTAAGGTTGACGGACACGCATGTCTTAATTAGTTTTTTTTTTTTTTTTTTTTTTTACATTGGTCAAACCCAAACTCAAACAAAAACATTGTTTTCAATCGTTATGAGTCTACCGATTGAATAGAATTTTATTATAAACAATTGTCTTGTAAATGGAATTTTTAAAGCATTCTGAATGTAAAAAGAAAAAAGTGTGCAAGACAATAAGAAACACTACCTGCCAAAAAAAAAAAAGAAGTTTTGTTGAAATTGGTTGAAAAATGTAGGAAATCCGATCTCATATATAAACGAACGAACACACACACACACACACAAACAACCTGGGTTTTATAATAAGTATAACTCGATATGAGTTGTCCCCCTTTCATTCTCGTGATGCCTCTTAATCGTGTTTTCAAATTGATTTTGTGCAAAAACAATTGTGTTTTTCCAATTTTTGGCACTGTCAGAACCATCACAAGGTAATTTTACGTAGTCCTGTGAAGTTTTGTTGAAATCAGTTGAAAAATGTAAAAAATCCGATCCAATATATAAACGTACAGACACACACACACACACACAATCTGCGTTTTATAATAAGTAAGATTCTTATTCTGTTCTGGACATTGAGTTCTACCTGGAAAATCCTCTTGGGAATTTATGTATATATATATATATATATTGACCACTGATATAATATCTCTCTCTCTCTCTCTCTCTATCTATATATATATATATATATATATATATAAATATATATATATGTTATATAATTTCATTATTCGTGTGAATTTAAAAATTAAAATTTTAAAGTGCACAAAAAAGAACATAGACACCCTGTATTTATACACACACACATGCACTTATAAAATTAATAATAGCTTTAGTTAGATTTTATAGTTTTGTATCAAAA